ACTCTAAGCTAAGAATACCTTACATTTTGGTATGAACATTTAACACTAAAAAAGAAAGTAATACTTTTATGTAGTTTTCTACAAGAAGGAATCAAGGCTTATTCCTCCCCTCTCCTCTTCTCTCCCTCTCCTCTCTCAACATCATRTATAGTTAAATGCGGGGTGCTCTTTGTTGTGGGTAACTCCAGGCCAGGCCAGGCCAGCAAAATGGCATATGTTTAGCTTGAATATTTAATTAAATCTGAAGAAACAGAGCAGACAACGACATAGGGTCTTTCTGACAACTTCTATGAGAGAGGCAGTTAGCTTGCGTTAAGACCTGCTACCTGTTTTGCTAGGAATATTTTTAAATAAAAATTATCACCTGCAGTTAAATAAAACAAGGCATTTATCTGTGGGTTKAAGTTTTCTATTTTATATCACTACAGTAAGAGGACTAAGTTAAGGAGCCAAATTGCGACAACTTGATCTATGAACGCTGGCACCTTTTGCTAACCATATTTTAACTGGATTCACTGCRCACCCTGCCCCAGTGCAGAAAAGAAAGGGAAACTGAATTCCAAACAAGTCAAATCTTGTTCATATTTTCAGGCAGAAGAGTTTTCAAATTAGWCTGGTCTTACATAAAACACTTAAAACACTTTGGCTCAAGTGCATAGGAAAAAGAAATACGAATTTCACTAAACAATATCCAAACATTTTACTTGTTCTTTTTGTCACAATATTTTTAACTCCAGGACCCTTTTTTTTTTCCTCCCCAAATGTCTCTTTCCTCTGCCCYGCATTGACAAAAACGAGGCAATTATAGAAGAAAAACGTCTTGCTGCAATCTGAAGTGAACAAGCATGTCAGAAAAATCCCTCAGAAATCATTTGCCTCAGAGCGATCCCATTCAGCCAAGAAGGTGCTGGGCGCAGGCCCCAGACACAACTCCGGTACTTACTCCTSCTCGCCCACTCCCCAACAAACATCRCAACTTTGCCAATGAAACACATAGTCRGAGATTGCCATCAGCTAATGATTCGTTATCTAACGACCCACCAGCACTGCCAGTATCGGAAAGGCCCTGGGCATAAAGGTCTGCTTATATGGGGCGGATAGAGGGAGTCAGGAGCTGCCCTCGCSTGTACTGACCGTCCTGCTCCTCTCCGGCAAGATGGCGCCGCTGAAGGCCCCGCCATTTTCTCTCTCTTCACAGGAGAGAGAGACATTTCTCCTGCGCTTTTTCAAGCGCTGACAGTACATCTAACTAAGCGACGCAAGTATTTTGAAACAAGTTAAGTTGCGTCAGTTCCTCACAGAATTAGTCTTAGGAAAACAGTTTTAGGGAAGAAAATAAGGTTATGCAGAAAGCTACCGTGTGTCACAGTCAGGCCAAGGATGTCATCGCCTCACTCTCCATTAGATATTCCTTAAAACGAAGCAATATATGTGCAAATGAATTAATTGTCACTGCCAGWTGTGCATTTGCTACACTTCTGTTACAGCGGGCTGCATCTCCTATACTTCATTTTCATTAGGCTTCCTTCACAGGGCTCATTCTTTAATAGAAAGAGTTCTATTACATTAAACCACYACAAAGACCTGAGCTTTAAAGTGTGAGCAGAAAGTAAGTCTCAAAGTTTCCGCCCAGGAACACAGTGTGTAAAATGGTGGCATATAGGCAAAGGAAAACAAAAAGGAGAGGGGAGATGGAGGAAATTTCACTTTTTCCTTTTGATAACCTCATTCATCTCCAACTGCAAGTCAAATCCTCCACTCCTTGCTTGGCCTCAAGACCGACCTCCTTCCTTCCAACACATTCAAYAGAACCATACAAAGCATCTTCGTGAAGGGGACACCAAAATCAAAATAAAATTCACAGCACTGTCCAACATCTGTGACTTTTTTTCCTCTCTTACAGAGAGGGTAGGCACAGGAGAACCACCCATTCACTCACAGCTTCAACTTGTCAATGCTTGGAGCCCATGCACAGCACATCTGTATAAAACACAGGGCTATCAGGAATAAAAATTTTTTAAAAAAAAAGGAAAGAAAGAAACATCTACATCTGACAAGGGGTTATTGGTGATTGTTACAGATTCCTGATGCCTCAGGATGGCAGCACTCAGTGAGATGGGTTGCCATTGCATGGTTTATAGGTAAGGCAACATCACAGAAGCCAGCGTGTACTGCTGATGTTAACATTTTCCAACGTTAAATGGCCCCAAATTAACATTTTATGAAGCACTTCTCTTACAAACACCAATCCGTCCCGACTCACAAAACAGGCAAATGGGTGGTAAGCCCAGCAACAGCCATTTTAATAACTGCATCTCATTTTACAGCTTAAATGTCTTTGCCCTCCCTTGTACCTTAACAGCTTATCACAATAGTGCAAATAGAACTATGAGGAAGACGTAAAGAATGCATTCCCAGTGCTATCAGAGCACAAGCCAAAGAATGCTTTTTTAAAAAGCAGAAGAATGCTTTTTAAACACTAAATGCAGAAGCAGTGAAGCTCCAACAAGGGATTTTTCTGTTCTGAAGCATTACAACAAGATTTAGCACTACTGCCAAAACACAAGGGCACTAATCCCCTACAATTATTGTTTTTATAGCAGGTGGAGACCATAAACATAGAAAGAAGAGCAGCCTTTGCAGAGTAATTATCCTCCCCCACGACGACAGGCATTCCCTGTTGCTTTAAGTCTGCCACTTGCACTCCATGCAGCGGGGCCACTGCAGCCATCCCACTTTGGGACAGGCATCCCGCTGGAGGCCCGAGATCCAGCTCAGAGAGGACGAGGAGGCCAAGCCTCAGCTCTCCAGCGGCCTCCTGAGACCGTGGGAAAGGTCCAAGGGCTTAGTCCGAGCCACCACGTAAGCCCTTTGGGGACTACTTGCATCTTCAGAYAAAGCGAGGTTTCCTAAGGTTATCTGAAAATAAGAAAGACTTTTTTGCTGTTGTTATATCAGTGATTGGTTATTATTAGTGCCTTTATCAGTGTTTAGAACATGTAGATTATGTTACTTAGGATTGAATGCAGTAAGCAAATGCTGTGTAAAAACCCAGCATGCACATAAAACTCTTGCGCTTGTGAGGTATTTCTCTGAAGAGACAGGGAAATCATGAACTACCTTTTCATTCAATTCTAGGTCTGACCCAAACACTTGAGAAAAAAAAAGAAAAAAAAAAACACTCAGAAAACACTCATTCCTCAAAGCCTTTTCTGATTTGTGCAATGCYATTTGCTCTCTTTGCACAAACACGCATTCCTGTATGCAAACTGCCTTGAAAATGAAAAGTCCTTTTGCTAGGACCAATTTAAAATGCATGAAATATGCTGAGGGTACATACACGAGATCATACTGCTGGCATTTCTGAAGTTTCAATGGCACTTAAGTAAGGTTCCATGATATCACACAGAAGAATCTAAGTAATTTTCAAGACAGCGTAAAGCAATAATATTTGCAGGCAGTTTAAGGCAAGTTAATACCCAGCTTCCATTGAAAACAGTAAGTCTACATGCCTAATTGCTCCAGGGCCTTTGAAAATCCCAGCCAAAAAGCACAATAAGCAGTAAATCAACCCTTTAAAAACGAAAACACTCTCCCCATCACAAGGTATTCTTGCCCACTAATGTGCAATTTACTTATATAAGCACCTATTGCATCATAAAGGGTCACAGACAGAACGATGCAAAGCCAAAGGGATTAATAAGATTAATACTATTATTCAGAAATATTAAAATCCATTATTTTATATGGTAATATGAGTTTTCCATCTGCGTGCCTACAGTAGGAGCAACTGTCAGTCCAAGAGAGCAGCACTGCTCAGGTTTTCCATCTCTCCCCTCCAGAAGAAAAGGAAAGCAGTGAATCCCCCCTCTAACATAGTCTGAAAACACCTTGCTGCCATTGTAGAACTCCAGCTTGGTGGGCACTGCAGCAGATGAGGCCAGATTTCATCACATTGGTGCAAGAGAAAAGACTGTCTTTGCAAAATAAGGTCTTATTTTGCAAAGTCAAATCTTATCTTTGCAAAATAAAGTCACAAGGTGTGTAAAATAATGATCACAGGAAAAATATTTAGGGCTCAGAAGCTGCTAACAGAGACTGATCTTTCAGTATCCAATGTCTCAAAGCTCTATTGACAACAGAATTAGACTCAGATTATCTCATCATATGTAACCTTCTGCAAAACAAAACAGTATTMATCACTGTAAGAAGCAATATTATGTTGCTTAGGCCAAATAGAGTAAACCACGTGATATTCTACCATGCTCAGAATTATTGAAGATATTTCTTCATGACAATTTTTCTTGTTGAAATTAGGTTAGTCTAAAAAGTCAACGAAAGCAACATGTTGTATTACTTTCAGAAAAGGGATTTCGTAGTCAGAAATGTGCTGTTGTTTCCCTCTTTCTCCTCACTTAGGAAATGGAACTAACTTTCTGTTAGTTAGGAATTCTGTAGGCAAAAGCTTGAAAATGACTTGATGAAAGCAGACCTACATCTTGAATGAGAGTGGCAGGCAAAAAGAAAAGGAACAGAACAGAACAAAAAAGGGGAAAAAGAAAAAAGAGGAATGGAAGAAAAAAATTGAAAGATTAAAAATGAAATTCAAGCAGCAATACCCATCGATTTCCCTTCAAAGTCTGACTGAAGTTTAGTCTCAGAGACATTTTCCTCTTAAAGTACCTGCAAACATATGAAAATAAAGACATCAATCCTGTAGCTTTGCAGGCTCTAGCACCGAAACAAGATGCAGACTGATCCACATCACATTATGATTAGAAAGTTCACACGCCTATTACTGTAACTATACATGAACTTGATTTTTTGAAATATTAAGGTAGTCAAAAAATTGCTTGCTTTTGCAACACTAATTTTAACCTATCTGTAGATCAAAGGTATCTTTTATCTGTGATTAAATAATGAACAGATGTATGCATCTGCTTACACACCAGAGTTTTGAGAGGAAGAAAAAGAAAAGAAAGAAAAAAAGAAAATCTTACCTTGTCTTGGTTTTCCTTATTTTTATAACACAAATTTCCAATCAAACGAATGAGATGAGATTTAAAACCCACAGCTGGATGTGAAATTTCTTCCTGCCCTGTCATAGCATGTGTGGCAGTGAAAATATTTACAGTCTGTTTCCCAGCAAGATGAGTTAATCTCAGGGTATCTGAAGAAAACAAAACATTTTAATAAATACTACATGAAAATTAGTCCTTGCATAACACTTTACTGCTATTTAATAACTATTAGCTTCAAAATCAATCAACAAATTTTCTGATATTGAGCAGTATATCAAAATAAGTTTGATTTTTTTAAAGGTTTGTGTTACTATCACCACATGAGGATGTCCCTAAATCAGAAGTTATTTTTGCATCCTTTTTACACACTGATCTAGTTCAACACAAGAGCATGGAAGGTCATCATCTCTACCTGAATGTTCAAGCTTATGAATTGTTAATGATTCTGACATTCCAAATTACAGACTTGTATTTGGTTTAAATCATTCGAAAAACAGATATTATCTTAAAAAAAATTACTTCATTTCAAACTCATACTCACTGTGGGATTACTTTTTCCTTTTCCTGAGTCTTTTTCAAGCTCAGTAAGGTGAGGGAGGATTTTCAGTTCATCCAGCATCTTGCAATGTCATTACAAATCCATGTCTGTCTACTGTAATTCCATCAACTAAGCAACATTAATGCTCCTTTAGGTTAAATATTAGTTTACAGCAACTACATTTTTTCCTCTTTTTTTTCTGTCCTTTGCGAAGACTTCAACAAACTCTTAGCCAGAAACAAGAGGGAAACTAAAATGTGTGAAAACCACGTTTCATAAAACGACTACACCCAGAGAAAAGCTGAAGTCACACCAGCACCTGATAGTCCATACAGCAGAGAAGCCAGTTTACTACAAACCGTGTGTATATTAAAAAACAAGCAATTAAGTATTTTTCCCCCTATCAGCCCTGCAGTGCTAATAATTGGCTCAGCATAACACCTGCCCAAAAATGCTACAGGCAACTTGCACTGAAACAAGATGTAGCAAAACCAGGTTATAGCACAGGCTAAAACAGTAATGGAGGCTGAAGAAAAATCTCAATGGTTGAAGAAAAAACTTCAAAAGTTAAATTAAGTAAAAAAAAAAAAAAAAAGGACAAAATACCACACCAACAATCCTTCCAACTTCATTACAGTGCAAGCAAAATGAAAGGAAGAACAAATCTATCAAATCTACCCACCCGACCTGGAGAGAGGGATGCAGCATAGGAAGAGGACCAGTCACCTTGGACACATGATGCCAGCAGTGCTAAAGATATTAAAAATGCAGTACCATTTAGCACTACTCTTCTACTGAAAATAGAGCTTTAGCTGACACATCATTCAGGTATTTTTCCAATCCTAGGATTTTCAAGCTTTCTATAACCATGGATTAACTTAGATCAAGTAATTTTCAAGAGGAGATGGGTATCTCAAGCAATTATTCGAAGAGAATCTTCATCAAAAGATCTCTCCATTAAAAGAAAATCTTTTCCAAAAAGTTCAGATCAGGGGTTAGGTGATATCAGGATATCAGGATTTTAGGAGTTCTTCATCCCTTTTGCTAATCTAAGAAGCTATGTAGTCAAAAGACAGGTTCAAAGAGAGCCTGTAAGAGAAACTGATAAATTCCTGCTGGCTGAGAGTGCCTGGAAACAACGAAGGACACCCAGGCCAACGATGTTATGGTTTGCACCCATGTTTAACTAGCCTGAATACAGCTGGGGAGAAAAGTTGTGTGTACACAGCTGGAAACACCAGGACTGACCTACAGCCCACTACTAGCCTTACCAGACTGACCTACAGCTCAGAGTTCCACAAAACACATGCAGATGATACATATATATTGTTGCAGGTTGTGTTAAGCTATAAAGGGATGCACCTGAGTATCATCAAAAATAGAGTTGCTCTTAAAAAGAGGACCTTCAAACATCTCAATATACAGAGGTGGTAAAGAGCTGTTTCAGCCAGAACATTATGAAACTGATGCCCTAACACCCATCAAATTTACTCAGAAAGTTGCGTGCTAGATCAGTCTCAGAAAGGACTATGGTTTAAGAAGGCACAAGTCACATGTACACTTCTTTCACCTTTCTCCCCAAGTATTTAGGATCTCCCTGAATCATCCTGGCTTCATTTTATTTCAACATGTTGTTTTATTGTGACTTAGCAGAACAAAACTTCTTTCAATCTCACCTTTACAAGCCACTGCATTTGATTAAGAACTTTCAATCCATATATAGTTTCAGTTTTAATTTGGGGAATAGCAAGGAAGAGCCATTGAAAAGTCCCATTTCTACTTCTTGAAGAAGTTCCTCCACACATACTCAGTCAGTGGAAGAGCATAGGAAATGGCTGCCCTTTGCACAACTCTTACCATATAAATAGTGCATTGCTGAGAGTTGAATAAAGGCTCTGTTGGGTTATAGGAGGCAACAGAGCAGGTAGAGCAGCTGAAAAATTCCAGGAACAAATCAAATATTTGAAAATGTAGATTAATTCAATCTCCTATTTATTTATTTTATTAGAAGGTCAGAATCATAATTACCATCAGTTGTAAAAAACATGTTTTCATTCACAGAGCTGGATGATTTGAATCCAGCCAGCACTTCATAAACTCCGTGGCTTTTCACTCACCTAGAGCTGTTTCAAGCAACCCAGGCAAAACTTGCACACGCTCTAGCTGGCCATTGCTTGATGTCATTTCACAAAGAACGTCAAGGAGTCTTATTGTAACCAGTGCTTCCTGTAAATGAAAATGCATTTCTGAAAACGTTACATGAAGGGTAAAGTCTGAACGTAAAATCTGGTGATCGAGCRAAGGACAAAAACTTTCAGAAATTTCACTTCTTTGCAGGTCTTTCAAACTGCCAAGAGTAAATTTATATAAAATAGGAACACCTTTTGAGAACAACAATGTTTTGTGTTGCAGTAACTTCTTTTCTATGGTCAAACACAGTGTTACATGCACCCTGAAAGATCTCGGGAAAACAAAACAGAGCCATAAGGGATAAAATTTTAACAAAAACACAGTAGCTTCCAAAAGTAGAAATACAGAAAATTACTAGCTGAGAAAATTATTTCTGTATAAATGTTTTCTTTGAGTTTATTCAGAAGGAGCGTCCCACTTTAAAGACAGAAACACCGCCTGCAAGACACCAATGTTTTATCCGCAGGAATTCTGTAAAGTTCTGTGGTCAAATGAACTTTGGCTGCGAGAATTTACATTATTCTTGAGTAAATAGGATAGGAATCATAGATGCAGCATTTTGGTTAGGTATGACACACAATTTTATTTGCATATTATTTATTCAACCCAAGAAGTACTTTTTCTCATGAGCTGCATTGTCGAGYGCTTAGAATGACAATCCAGCACTTACAGAAAGTTACCTTAAAACGGTACAGAATAATCTGGAATACCACAGAGCGCTCAAGAAAGACTGCGACTGCAGCCCAACTCCCTCCAAGGTGTGCTGTGTAAACTGCAAGTTGCCACGAAAAGGTTTCTACGTGCATCGGAGCAACTATTTCCACCTTGCTTGCTTCTTGTCCGCGAGACGGGAGGTACAAAATCCAAGGTTCCCTGGGGAACCCGCATACACCTAATAAATTAAACAGCGGATGGGACCCAGACAACATTTTAGGAGATAGGCCAGCTCAAGGGTATTCCAAACACGTTCCGTGTGGCCTCCCAATTGCGGATGCCAAGACAGATTGCTGGTACAGAGACAGACTGACCAAGGCATCCTGCTTCAGGTCCACAGGAAAAGCCCAGGAATAGTTTAGCTTTTTAGCACAAGTGTTGCCTAAAGCATTTTTAATGACCAAAAAACCCCTACACATACACTTTTTTCTTCAGCGAAGTTCAACTCTTAGGCAAAAACTAAAATACTCAAATGAAAGAGTATTAATCAAAGAGAAAGCAGTCCCTTTTTTGACCATTTCTAGTAAGAAAAGAAAGTTTCTTGAATTCGTTTAGTCATTTTTTCTTCTCCCATGGAAAACAGGGATTATGTATAAATGTATACATGCAGATTTTATTAAAGGCGTTCTTGCAACTTCTTTTGATTTACTCAGCTATTTGTGACTTGTGTTACAGTCACTAAATATCCACAGTTGCCACCAAATAGTGCTATTTAATTTATCCTGTCTCATATGAGAGAAAGATAAAAAGTCATTGCGTAACAAGGCAACTGATATAGTGGTATTCTCAGTACTGCTGTCCCAGCACCTTCAGGTTGGACAGAGACCTTCTGCTAGGCACAAACAGCTGGGGTTTTTTTTCCGAGAACTGAAACCACAGAATACTTGGAAAATAATCACAAAGAATTAAAAATAAAATTTWAAAAAAAAAGGAGTTGGGGGGGAAATTGTCTCAGTATATTTTCTCTTACTGCCAAGTTGATACCTTCTCTGCAAGCAGTTTCTTAGGTATCTCAGTTATCTGCGTTAGTGGAATTCTGTGTAGAGGGAAAGTGGGAAAAAGGAAGCAATCTCTGTTGGACAGACAAGAACAGATATCGAGGAGTTGCCTCCCATTTTTATTTTTCTTATACACCTATCTATAACTTCCTCTTGAAATGATTTTGGTAACTTTCCATAGGACCTTTCTATATGTACTTGTACATTGAAACTAATTGCATGTATTTCATCTCCCCACACTTTCTTCCACCAAAAAAATCAGGAAATTACAACAATGTTTATATGTTTTTTTATGATAATGTTAAAGTTTTTCATTTTAATTGCAAGTTACAAATATGAGAGATGATCTTAGGAGTTTCTCTGGCTGAACCTACCACAGCTTAATTTTAACAATAAAATATTTTCCACTATATGTATGTTGTTTGACCAACACATACTAAGATTTTCAGATTTTCTGGCTAGTGATTGTTTTTTTTTTTAATAAATAAAAAAGGAAAACTCGCAGCAGCTAAAAACATTAAAACTCTAACTTTTTCTATACAAATGACACCCCTGTCCGGGATACAATGCCCTAATGCAGCATCAGCAGTTGTATTCTACAGCTCTGGGTGTMGATTGCTCTCTGTTCTCCTAAGGACATTATTAGGGACCTTGTTTAATCATTTGTTGAAAATAGGAGGAGGAAGAAGTAAAAGAATACACTATTTTAAAAGATCGCCACCCTCAGATGGTCAACATCTCCTTATTGTACTGTATGGTAGGGCAAGTAGCCAGCAGTTCTTGGATACTTCATAAGGAAGAAACAAAACAAGGTCATCACTTAGCTCCGCACCAGAGGTTCCCAAAGTGCAGCCCACAAGCCTCCTGCGACCCATAAAAGCCTTCCTATTTAGCTTGCAAAGGGGCTTCATTGTGGCCGTCCTCAGCAAAACCGGCTCATTAAGTCTGAGGCAACAACGGATCCCATCCAAGCGGGCGGGAGCTGCGCTGAGTGCCGGGGTGCTGCAGAAAGGAGCCAGTCGGGAGTCCAGGAGGCTCCGCGACCGGAGCCTGTGGATGTGAAGAGCTTCAGGAGCACCTTGCCAGAGCCACGCACCATTCAGCCCCAAACTGTGGGGCAATGGAGACAGAGAGAGCCAGGGACCACAGCTCTCACTAGCAGGGAGGGTCACTGCATTTTCCGGACAGCTCCGAGCTGCTCTCACAGGCACTGACACCATGGAAGGGCTCCAGGTCCCCAGCAGACTGGGAGCACCTGCCACGGGAACAGCCGACTGCAAGTTCAAACAACTTAGGAACTTTAACTGTGTTCTCCTCATATATATATATTTATATAAATATCTAAAGTTTGATTCATATTTGAACAAAACATAATTCACAAAGTGAAACCATTATTAAGTGATCCCTAGTAACAGCATAATGAAGTCCCCACATATCTGGCAACTTAAAACTTTTT